GTGTGTGTGTGTGTGTGTGTGTGTGTGTGTGTGTGTGTGTGTGTGTGTGTGTGTGTGTGTGTGTGTGTGTGTGTGTGTCTAATTGTTGAGCTTCTCAGTCTCCGTGGTCCTCACAGCAGTCAGCTGACCGTCGTGAGCCTCCTCCTCTCCGGGCACCTGAAACAAATAAAAGGATATTACAAAAAAGATATATGTATAGTAAACAAATATTATAATAATCGTTTCCATCTATTTTAAAATATCCCTAATTTTCCAGATGAAATGCAGTTTGATTGTTGCTTTTAAAAGTGTGAATCACTTTCTTCCTCTGGTTTTATGCCATGTATCTTCTCATGTGTGCAAATCTCAATACTTCTCAGGAGGATGAATCTGAAGAGAAGTGTCTTTATTTTCCACTATTAGTTTTTTATGATTTTTGTTCTCTTTTTAGTGAGATTATAAAAAACAAAGTAATATACAAATTCATGATTCTAACATTATATATGTTCATGTGCACTCATATACCTGTGCTCACACATTGTAGAAAACAAAAGCAGGGTGATGATGCACGGTGCATTGTGGGTAAAATTAAATGACGTCAGCCCAATGTGAGAAGCAGGAGGGAATCTGTTCCTGTGATAAATCTGATGACATTACTGTGTGTGTGTGTGTGTGTGTGTGTGTGTGTGTGTGTGTGTGTGTGTGTGTGTGTGTGTGTGTGTGTGTGTGTGTGTGTGTGTGTGTGTGTGTGTGTGTGTGTGTGTGTGTGTGTGTGTGTGTGTGTGTGGTGAGCTTGCTCCCCCTGGTGGTCAGACATGATACTGTCTCATCAGAGTTTCTCTTTTTATTTTAAATCCTGCTACTCCATCTGGTGGCCACATTTGACGCTACACCCTCCGACTGGAGATAAGGCTTCAGATACTTCAAGGTAAAATAACACGCCTAATTGTGAAATATCTTGACGGTGAAGCTTCATTTAAAATGTAAGATTTATTTCATAATTGTCCTTTTACGTCTTTTCTGCTGAAATAAATTATGTCCTGACAAGAGGTCTAATCAGGAAGTGAAAACAGCTGTTCAGGCTCTCTCTATGAAACCCCTGAGGAAACTTAATACAAGTAGAAAGTAAAAGTAGAAAAGTACTCATCAAAATATAGTGAAAGTAGAAACAGTAAAAGTAGTCATTGTGCAGATTGGTCCATTTCAGAATAATAGATATGATATGTTTTATAATGATTGATCATGAAAGTGTTCTCAAAGCTGGTAAAGGTGCAGCTAGTTTGAATGACTTTGTATACTGCAGGGTAGCTTGTGGATTTACTCCAGGTGGAACTAAAGTCTGATTTAACACTTGATTATATTTACCATCATTCATCCACATCTGAGAAGTAACTAAAGGTATAAATACATGTCATGGAGTAGAAGTACACCATGTACCTCTGAACTGTAGTACTAGTATCTCAAAGTTGTACTTAAGTACAGTACTTGAGTAAATGTACTCAGTTTCTTTACTTCCCTGAAACCACAGATTGCTTTAAAGGTCTCACCTCCCAGTAGATGCTGTCCTCGTAGCAGATGGCGTCAGAAGGAGCGCCGAACACAGGAAGCTTCAGAATAAAACCTGAAACGAGAAACGTATCACTTTAATTTCTCATGATGACCCTCTGATGTACACCTAAGACATCTGAATGTATATTCTTTAATGAGGTAATGTGTCGAAGCATTTACGTTAAAAAAGTTAAATTGAATTGAAATAAATTAAAAGCATAAAGTTAAATACAATTAAATGAATACAAATACAAATCATTAAATTGAATTAAATAAAAAATATATATAAATAAATACAAATAAAATGAAATCATAACATTTGTAATCGTCCATTCAAATGAGACACCCACCAACGATGAGCCCCCCCAGCAGGGCGAAGCCCAGAGTAACGGCGAGGGAGATGGCCTGCCGGACGCCCTGATAGGACGCCTCGATATCTCCACTCGCCACGTCAGGGAACACATCGGCCATTCTGAAAACACACAAACAACAGATGTAAAGGTCCCCTATTATACTGTTTTTCATCAATACATTACAGGTCTCAGATATATACAGAGCCTGTCTCTGATTGGCTGAAACACCAAACAGATCATTGCATGCATTACCCATGAATCCCCTCTTGTTTCAGCCCTCGTTTTCCAAAGTGCATGATTCTCTGTCTGGTTACGTGTAGACATGAAAATATAGGAGCCAGACCCTCGCCGCACGGCCCCTCTGAGAGAGCATTGTGGTTACAAAGAACGGTCAATGGAGGCCTCTAGCGAGGAGAATCAAGCGGTGAGTAAGGGGGGGGTTGACCTTGGTTGGCTGTTGGCTATGGGTTTACTCAAGACAAAACCAGTTCGTTATGTACATCAGGTCAAGTGCCAAAGATCTGATCAGGGCTCATTTTCAGAAAGTGTTTTGGTATAGGAGAATGGGATCAAAAAA